CAGCCAATCAACTAGGGGCGCAACTTCGAATAGCATCGAGCGTCGATTGGCGGTGAAAGCAATCGATTGACAAGGGGTCTTAGGCTGGCTGAGGGCGGCATAGATTAGCGGCTGCGCTGCCAGTCGGGGGGCAGACTGTCACAGGCAAGTGAAGAGGCGCTGACTGCTGGCTGAACGCATGGGATTGGAGCTAAGAGCCGTCTCTCGTTGATCTAGAGGGCGAGCCTGCGGTAGTTCACTTAACCTGATTAGTAGGCAGGCACTGGCCTACTATTGCGTATTCGCTGATGGCACCAAATCGCATCAAACTGTAGTTTTTTATTATGGCTTGATATCGAGTAGTGGTTTGTAGTGCAAGTTATCGACTAGATTTCCAACCATAAAGTGGACCACTATTTAAGTACCAAAAGGCCTACTGAAAAAAATGTAAGTAGGCCGTTTGTGGTGCATACAATGTGAGTCCTCAAAGGACGACCCTTGCAACCTTTATGTGCAGAACTTTATCGGAAACGTGATCTCGGTGCGCGCCTTCAGCCCAGTGGTCAGCGACTTATGGGGCATACCAGCGGCGCGTCAACATCTTGCCGGGATGCGCGATCGGTGTCACCGAGACCAGTCGAGCCCCAATGGACAGCAGCTGGGTAAGACACCGTGGGATCCGATCCAACCAATATGTCTGCACCAGTCTAATCTGAGGAAGTAACTACACAATTACTAATTAATCCGCCTATAACCAACCTGGAATGGTTCATAACTATGTAGAGACAGTGAGCACTGTTCTTAAAATGAAGCCGTAAATAAAGCAAGGGCGAATAGAGAAGTGAGTTTTATAATTTCGGCCAAAATTTATAGATGGACGTGGAGTGAATTAATCGGAGACGGATTCGTCAGGTCCTGGTCCGTCATGCAATATGTACTGCTACTAGCTTCGACGGCGCATGCATGCGACTGTCCAGTTGAAATTGGTTGTACTTACAGAAGGTGTCGTAAGTCATTAAGGACTCTGACAGAAGTCTGCGTTTGGCCACCCGAAACCTTTTCCCGTGCCGATAGATAGATATCAGTCGTGTGACAATATTTTGTCCGGAAGGTAAACGACGGTTTGTCGGCATATTTTGACTCGAAGAAAACAACTGTCCGACCTTTTCCGCGTACATAACGGTAACACTGAGCCATGTGGAGGTGTATTCTGACCGAGGTTACTTAAATTGCATTAACACCAAATGGCCTTCGGACGATCTGAGCATTCAGACGAAAATCTTTACGCCAATTCTTTTTGACACAGTCACAAGGGTCTTCAATGGTTGTGACATAAAGAAGGAACGCCATCAGCAGACGTAAGAGGATAAAAGACTCTTTGGACAATGACAACAACCTTGTTCCAAGAAAGCAGAAGTGAAAATCGATTTATACAAATTTGTATGACCTATTCTCCCCAACAACAAGAAAAACCACTTAAGGACAGGAGTTAATCTCCTGCCACTAAAAAGTCGTTCACTTTGTGAAACCTAAGGAAATCTACGATCAAAATTGCCTTTCAGACAGAACAGCACTGACAACCTAAGTGTAAGGCTTCGGAATTAAAATACAGCCAGTTTACGGTCTCTTGAGTTCTGCCTTCTCAAAAGTTTCCCATCTTATCGTCTGGATATCCGGAAGAACCTTAGAAACAGTGTCGATTAAGACAGTTTTTGAAAGGGTAGAAGAGAAAGAGAAGCAATTTAAAGGAATTCACAACGATGTAGGCCGAGCCGCTGCTCTTCAGCGACGTAATCAAACGTATGTCTGCATCTATTTCATCTTAGGTGAAAAATGAGGACACTTTTAACTTCGAAGTGATGCAAAAGAATTCTCGACAGAAAAAGGCACAACTTAGAACAATTCTCAAAATGAAGGGGCGGGAAGCTCCAGACAGTCAACAAATAAATTCCTGGGATAGCTTTCTGATTCTCGGGAATACGACTTTAGCGACTAACTACTCCTAGGCGTGCTCAATAAGGCCATCTTTTTCGGGGAAAATTGCACTGACCAATTATTTGATGCTGACTGCTTTTTGACGGTCAGGCAACGTCATGACATGCCACAGGGCATGAGCATGCGAAAGGCATTAAATAAGCATCAAGTGTTGCTTCTCGATTTCTAGACAAACACAGTTGTCTATAGCATGCAAGAATCTGACTTAAAAAATCTGTGGTGCTTCGTCTGAGACTGTGACTCAACAAGTTAGAAAAAGTAAGAGGGTATACTGACAATCCCATGGTAATTTTAAATGTCGATATGTGCTTTCCCACATAACAAAGCCACAATAGTGCGGTTTAGACGCATTTGTAGCCGCATGAGGCGTTTCCAATGGGCTAAAAACAGTAATTATTGGAGCACATAGAGACTTATGGCCGGGTATGGTAGGGGCTGCCTATGTCAAGGAAAGGGAAATGGGGAGCTGTTAACGGCAATGAGCAGCAAAGAATATCGCTAGTTCAACAATTAATATTGCTGATGTATACAAAACTACCTAAATGATGTAAGTAGATATTTTATGGGGTTGTAGTTCAGGGCAAACCTTTCCGTGTCCTATCACGCCTGTTAACAATGGCACATATTCCATAAACGCCGCCACTTCGTCTCTCATTCGTTCTTTTTTATACAACTAACGTCAGTGGCTCGAAAGTAGCAATGCTGTTCGTTGGGGAGTAGAGCCTTGTTCTTAAGCCACGAGGTGGCGGCATGTTTAAGATTTTTGTTTAAATTTCAGTTACGGTTAACTGGTGTTGTTAAGCACAGTAAAGGAAAGTGCCTCTTCTCATTACACACCACCTCTTCAAAAACTATGGCTAACCCGCACCTTAAAACCACCCTGAAGTAATTACGGCCAATGTTTTCACCAGCAAATAATTAAGTCGTTTTACAACCTAAATTAGGGAAATGAAAATACCGTCCTTATGTATTTACTTTCGCATTGATTCGCTACTTTTGTAAATTCATTTAGGGACTGCTGACGTGACCCAAGAAGACTACGTTGCTGTTGCGTCAAAGCAAGGTCAATGTCAAGCGTTCTTTGCCTGCACTAAGTCTGAGAGAATCCTTGACTCTTGTTGCATACATACGTGCATGACACACACTAGAAGCACACTGGCTACAGGTCAATCACCGGACCCAATCTCGTCGTCATTACATCGAAAGTCGGCAACAGGTCGCTGGCTGCAGCTGTGCTGAACCAAAATGGGAGTCAGACTGGCCCACGACACACGTCTGTCGGGCAGCGTGCATGTGTGAGTGACAGGTCTTAGTGTACAGTGGCTGACGCGACGTGAAGCTCTTCGTCTGTCTGGTCGGGTTTGGTCCTGCAGCCGCATTGGAACCCCGACTATCTGTAATAAAGGAATAGTGGTAATAGGGGTTTTACGGGTTGGGCATTCGGACACGCCAAAGGAAATGCCGCAAAATAGTAAAATTGAAAGAAGCACTTTTAAGTCGCCGGGGAACGTTTAGAAGAGGTGAGACCCAGGTGCAAAATGATGAAAGTGTGATAGCGCATGTGGAACAGTTTGCGGGGAAAGTCGGTGTGTAGACAAGGAATGCAAAAATGCAAAATGAAGACAAACAACCAATAGGAATGGGAAACTGTGGCACCGCTGTTTCCTCTCCAGAACAGAGTTGGTTCACATCACTTGGGAAAGAGGCCTTAGAATTTAACTGTTAAGCTCATCTCGAAGGAGACTATATCTTCTTGGTAGTTAGATTTCAAAGGCACAGTTTAATTTGGCCTTTAAGAGTTGGATAATTTATGCGTATTCTTAAATACAGTCATCTTTACGCGTTTCTCAAATAAATAGTCTCCATTTCTCATCAAGTTCCTTAAAGGGATCTTACTGAATATTTACGCAAACATCCTAAAAAATCGGACAACCGCAAACATTCCTATAACAAAATGCTTCTGGGCTTTGATAGTCGTGCTTCATGAAGTCACAACCCTCTACAAAGTGAGGGAGGACAACAGGGTTTTGTGTATTTGGGGGTAACTTGATTATATTCTTTTACCAACACTGAAAATTTAATAAATATATGGCAAATAAATGACGATTTCTACATTCTATCCCCAACTTAAGAAGATAGCGATGACCTCTGAGACGAAGCTGTGGAGTCTGAGACACAAGAAGGATTCACGTTGAAGGGTTCGTCGCTTTCACCTTCACTTTTGCGTATTCGCTGATGGTACCAAATTGCATCAAACTGTATTTTTTATTATGGCTTGATATCAAGCAGTAGTTTGTAGAGCACGTTATCCACTAGATCCCCAACCATAAGCAGAACCACTATTTTAATATCAAAAGGCCTACTGAGAAAATGTAAGTAGACCTTTTTGTGGTGCATACAATATGAGGCCTCAAAGGGCGACCCTTTCTAACCTTATCGGATACAAATCAGGGGTTTGAAGTAAAGTCACCAATACAAAAGTTCTTTGGTTGGGCGACAACTTTTCTGTAAACACGGCCTGAGACCAGCCAACATCAGCGGGGTAGCCGGGCAATGTTCCCACCCACAAATTTGCTAGACTGTAGTTTTATTCGAAAGTTGCATTATTTACCATACTGACAGAGAAGGTATCACCAACATTATTAGTTAGCTGAAAATGACATAACCACACACGGGTATTGAGATTGCTTTTGTTTATCAGGGGTTTCGCGTCATCACACAGCTGGTTGTTTATACTGCGCCAGTCATCAAGTATAAATTTGCCAACCCCGGGTGGTAATTTTGGCGAGAAAGCTGTTTGCATTCGGAAATCGGTGACGTCGTTGTAGCGCACTCATATAGAGCTGTGAGCGCGACTATCCAATCATGTCAAGATTGCAAGACCACAATGATACTCCTCTCTAGACTTTCTCTCCTCTTTCCAAGAGGGGTGATACTTCGTTGACTCCCAAGCGCCGATCCTACAGCGCACGTTCTTCCTAAGTTTGTAATTGTGGAGTAACTGCTTTCAACTTATCGAAGGGGTGATGTTAGGGTCCGACGCAGTAGATGGAGGTTTCACGTCAGAAGAAGAAGAAGAAGAAGAGGAGGAGGAGGAGGAGGAGGAGGAGGAGGAGGAAGAAGAAGAAGAAGAGGAAGAAGAAGAAGAAGAAGAAGAAGAAGAAGAAGAAGAAGAAGAAGAAGAAGAAGAAGAAGAAGAAGAAGAAGAAGAAGAAGAAGAAGCGATCACTGGAACATGCCGTTTATTGACCTGACGTTTCGGATTCTCCCTCGAACCCATCATCAGAGGCGGTTGCAGGCAAAGATAGTGGAGGCACGGAGACTGCAGTATTTACAGTACGTAGCCGCCGTGAGTGCCACATGCTCACTATAATTAGCAGTTCTTGTGATCGCTGCGGGGGTCGTAATTAAGGCGATGATGGCTCGTTAGTCCGCGTCCGAGTCGTTAATGGCCGCGATTTCGTCATCCGTTTTGGACGTTGATGTGGTTACTTCCCAACAATTTTGCTCGCTGTCAACAGGACAGCTGAGTGCCCGCGCTCTCCCCACATGATTGATCACCCTGCTCAGGGAGTGTCTCAGCACTGGATATGGTACCAGAAGGTCATTGCGCTTGTTGATGGATTGCGAACCTGAGAACCATAATTCGAGTAGTTCGCGGCTCACGTGCGGTCGTCAGCTCTCGCGAGGATTCTAAACTCTTGAAACTTGAAAATAGGGCCCGGTTCCGTGGAACGAGCTGCTACCTGAGAGCTGGTTTCATTTGTTGAAACTTGCGACCCAAGTAACTCAAGTCGGTTCGGCTGCCGCGAGCGACGATGTTCACCGTGGGGCCCACAGCTTAGTGGGCGCAGGACGGTGACTCATAAGTGAATCAGTTCACTGTGATACCAGACATATGCAGCGCCTATCGCACTCTCACCCCCCTCATTTAACTGCACTATGGGGCAAGACTGAGTCAGGACGACCAGAGGCAGATTCGAATGCAGTGACAGTCTACGCTTGCCACAGACGATCCTGTCCCCGTCGGAGCTGAGCGGCGGCTCACCTCCCTTGCTGTTGGAGCCGTAGGCTGTCTTGATTGGTGGGAAAAGATCTTTCGTTCCAATGCACTCACATAGCCTTTCGGTTCATCCACGCTTTCACCAAGTTGTGACATCTGAAGAAGGTCGTGCTGTTTCTGTCGGTCCCGCGGTTGACGAGGGTTTTTTGCAACCTAAGCCTTTCGGTGGGCAGAATGCGAATTTATTCGTCGCTGTAGTTGAACCAATCCTGGTGTTTACGGCGTGGACAACGGAGAACTTCCAAGCCGGCGAAATGAATGATGTTCCGCAGTTAGCACCACGGTGGCTTTGTCTTCCTGAGTATGCGGTCCACCACAGCGTTCAGCCAGTCGATATCTGAAATCGAAAGTGAGCAGATGCATTCAATAAAACAGCACTAAACTTACCTGGTAGTCATTCGCCTTGGGGTCTCACGCAAGGTTATGGTCGAAGCTCTCCCCTGGAGAGGACGGAGCGGTGATTCATTCAGAGTTTGGTGTCGTAGCTCGCTTTTGCTGCCAGCGCGTCCTCTCGATCTCGCCTCCAGACGAGAACTTAATCTAGCAACTGCCAGCGCCACGATCGAGGGAGCACCCAGATTGCCTTCTTGCGCGACGGAAGAGGGAAGAGATTGTTGGTCAGGAGGAGACGGTGTTCTGCACAGGTTCCGAGAAGGAGCGGCTGAGCATTCCCGACGGTTGTTTAGCAGGCATTTTGGCGTCACTTACGAATCCAGTCTGATTAAATTCCTGATGTAATTCATCTTGTAGCATTAACTAATGCTATTACTAAAGGTAAAAATTCCCTTCCGTTCCCATTGCACTTAGGCTTGTAATCGTTAAATTCCTCCTCTGCCTTGTCGCCTGGAAAAGTGCAGTAACACGCCTAACAACTACATTTCGCTCTAAGTTGGGAGTTACCCTCAATGCTTAACGTTACGCCGAGTGTGTTATCTTCAACGGCCTCGGACGCTATGCGTCGAGAGCCTTCATCTCTTCTTGTCCAGCCAATCACAGACATGCACGCGTACACAGCCAATCCCAGCTCTCACAGTCGTGCGCTGTGACTGGCCTAGAGACGGGCGGAGAGCTTAACCTCATTGACGGACGTGTGTGGGCTAGTCCCGCGTTCAGGGGCCGATACAGCCGTTTCCACACAGAATAAATACACTTACTGGGAGTGTACCCTCCTACCCCGGCTATAAAGGGCTCGTTCATGCCCGTGGCGGTCACTATACCCACTTTTCTTTAGACATAGCAACTCATGAATCACGGGCTTTTGGATAGTGCCTGTGCTGTTAGTATGAAATCACCTTACCCTAAAATATACTACTTGCTGCCTGTTTGCAGTTAATGAATATTACGCGGTCATCCGCTGTGGCTGATGGACTTCGGCCCAAATATTCACGCATAAAAAAACTTAGGCCTGAGTATATAGACCTTAAATATTCTGATCTACTCCAAGTTCGCAGTTAATTTCTACGGAAATTAAAGAGCTACAATTTCTAAATTGGAGTATTTACCAGAAAGCAGACGGGGAACGCTGGGAAACCCACTGACGAGTCGAATTCATCGCAGCTGTGTCATGCAACGTCTGAATATCGGCGAAACATGCGTGTATGGGCTTTTGGCTAGTATCTGTGCTGTTAATATGGAAATACCCTACTCATGAATCAGATTCAGTCTTCCGGGGCGGACGAGAGTGAGCCATTATGTCACAGTTCGACTGTTGTGCCCGACGACGTGTGCTCCACAGCAAGGTGAAGCAGGCATGATGACTTGCACGTAGAAAAGTCCATAGTGAGAGTTGACTTGCGCAGCATCTACTACACCCTCCCCTCCCCATCTGGGCTTGGTGCCAAGATATAGCCAAGAAGACCAGAGGCGGGAGAGGACGCAGGTAGTTGGTACGGCCGGAATCGCACTTAGACGTACCACCACAACCCTTGGTTCATTACAAACACTTGATCGGGATTTTAGCCAACAACAAAAGCACTACAACGGGTCAGAAAGACAACGAGTATGACTGGACAACCATGCTCGCGATCCGTATATCCCGCGGGGACGCAAGCGCATCTACCGGCTGGGAAACAGGTGCCAGGTAACTGCCAGGGCAGATCAGGCCTCGAGGGCTGTGATTTGCTCAACCGTGGCAAAGCAGATGCTTTCATGTCTTGAGACCCGGCTCAGAAAAAACCGATAAAACTTGGAAGGGAGGAAGATCTGAACAGAGAAATAATATGACATGAACCGCCGAAAGTAAGTTTGAGGAGGTCAGTTGCTGTGAGTATTTCAGGATAACAACGGCAAACCCTATCCATTGCACTATGTCTGCCCAGTAAAAACAGAAGTCTGCGCTCGATCGTCTTCATGGTCGGTTAAGCTTCTGGCGTCTCGAGTAGTGGATGTACCTGGGGCAATACGACCATCAGGCCAAGTCTCGGTTAGCAAGAGAAGACGACATGCAGCAGAATGAGGGGTTCGTTGTGTGCAGAACCCCGAGTTGCCGTCTATGGTGACAGTGGTCGCTAGCGAGGGCATGGTGTGTGTGCTGAGAGTGGTTAGTCATGCCTGAGAGAGAGAGTGTGTGTGTGTTCTATCAGCTGTTTGCGTCGAGATTTCTTGGAATGCCTGTGGGCCTGTCGTGAGGGGGCCTATGAAGCAGTGGCCGAGTGATGGTGTTTTCAAGGAGGAGGGGGGCATGGGCGTCTGTAAGTGTCTGGGTGCGCACCGGCCCAAGTTGAAGCCAGTTGGCTGTCTGCAAGTCAGCGCGTCGACAATGTTGTTTTGTGGCAGGAACCTTCGTGATGAAAGTGAGCGACCTCGAGTTGTGCGCGACCGCTGTAGTAATGGCGGTCGGCCGCAGTCTGTGGCGCATCGTCACAACAGGCTGTTGGTGTCAGTTCTACTGAACTAAGATTGTTTATTCTAACGGCGACGCACTTCATCCTCAAGAAACTCCGATGAAGATCAGATATATGGTTTTATAGAGGAAACGAGTGGGCAGGAATCCTGTAACACGGGGATGGTGGTAATGGCGGTTTTATCGGTGGGTATGCGAAACTGGCAGAAGGCTGTTTTTAGGAAGAAAAAGTGGAAAAATTTCATTTGCACCGCTGGCTTGTTTTAATGCACTGATAAGGCGTAGGAACGCGAGCGCGCTACTTTGAGTACTGGAAATTAGCAGCCGCAAACTGATGGAAAGTAGAAAAATCGGAGATATTCCAGACAAACTAATCTCGGCCCATGATGATCAATCACTTTTAAGGAAACAGTAGGAAGAATATGCCTTTAAATTCGACTCTTGTGATAGCTACGACTACACATATGAATGAATTCAACAACGCCGGCAGCCTAACCCATAGTCCTAATCGAGATTCTGAGGTTTTTTTCCATTAAAAAAAGATTTCCTAGGTTGGTTTATAACACTGGTTATCGTGTAGCCTGTTCTTAAGATATTTCAGTCGGTCCAGAATGCCCGCATTTGAATAAACCTCCTATCGATCTACCTGCAGGACTATCCGGGCGGTTTGAATTTTTTCCACTGATTTTAATTACCCTTATAAATTCGAAAACGTTTTTAGAAAAAATGCATAAGAATCTTCCTTCTCATGTTCACTTGACAACGAATCACATCTTATTCAAATTCTATTCTTAGAAAGAACATATTTCGGCCTTAGAAAAGTTTCTGTCCATCTACCAGTGCGGCTTATAAAGTTTACAATATTTTCCACATTCATTCCAGAATTTATGAGCCCTCTATGACCTCTTCCTGATAGCATGAATAAATATATGATTGTCCTAACATAGAAAGTTTGCAACATAAAGATTTAAAACGCTGAGCGCAAATTCGATTGTAAGTCGAACTTAAAATTATTTGGAAATGGAGAAAAATATCTCGATAATTGGAAGGTGTCCTTTCTTATGGTATAAAATTTTGGGCAGACCCCCCCCCCCCAATCTCAGCATAAGTTGGCCGACCGATTCGGATTCGAAGGTCTCAGCACATCCGACGCAATCGAATCTATCACGGTGAGCTAAAAGTCGTGGCATGGAAGGCTACCCCTAACGATTCCACTCAGACCACGCAGTCAGCACAGTGTATGTTTGTGCGTTGAGTAACCGACTGCTGGACTGAGAGTCAGGCTTCGATGGCTCCTTTTAATGGCACCCTCGCACATGTTAGATCTGAGCCGCCTATCCTCCTTTAGT